GGGGGTGGGCCGCCCCCCTAATATAATGGCAGGGGAAACACTGAGTAATCTTAGTTAATGTTAATTTCAACATTTACTAATACATTATTAAAATCAAAAGTTGTATCTCTTAAAATTATTTCATGGACTTGAGCTACAATGAACTAACAATAAATAGTTGTATTTTTATTAAATAATTTGTACATAGATTAATAAGTACAAATGTATTGTTCATTTTATTTATTTACATATTGTTCTATTTTATTATAGAACTTGTATTTGTATTCTTTTTTAATAATATTTCATAGTGTTAGTGTTGATCCTCACAAAACTTTGTTCTGTATATGCTTATAACAGGAAAACAATTTGAATTAGCTTTTTTGAAATAGTAGAAGATGTAAATGGTGTTTGTTTTTCAGGCTAAAGGGAAGGAGAGGCAGTGGCTGAGGAATCAGGCTCTGGGTGAGCTAGACGATGCTAAGATCATTGACGGCCTGACAGGAGAGAAAGCCATTTATAAACGCAGAGGAGAGCTGGAGCCAGAGGTGAGAGCTCATATTCACTCAATATTCATCACATAGAACAAATACAAACACACATGAATACACATTCTCTCATTTTCAGTAAATAACCATGGTTAGGTTAAATAACCAAGTTGGCACGAAATGAAAATTCACCCTATCTGTTTTATTGATGTTACTGAGCTTACTTTGAATGATTCATCCATGAAGTGTTATTTTAGAATCATTAACGTTTATCCAAAAAATTAGTTTTATTTTTAGATTGTGCTTTTTCATTTTAATTAGGGGCTTTCGCACCGCGTAGTTCTAGGAACTTAGTTCTAGGAACTAGCCAGCAGGGTAGTTCCTAGAGAACCAATTTCTCCCTCTGGCCGTTTTCCTGGTTGCATTCGCACCAGCAGCAGGAACTCTGAAGCGGCCAACAGAGAGGAGAGCTGGAGCCAGAGGTGAGAGCTCATATTCACTCAATATTCATCACATAGAACAAATACAAACACACATGAATACACATTCTCTCATTTTCAGTAAATAACCATGGTTAGGTTAAATAACCAAGTTGGCACGAAATGAAAATTCACCCTATCTGTTTTATTGATGTTACTGAGCTTACTTTGAATGATTCATCCATGAAGTGTTATTTTAGAATCATTAACGTTTATTCAAAAAATTAGTTTTATTTTTAGATTGTACTTTTTCATTTTAATTAGGGGCTTTCGCACCGCGTAGTTCTAGGAACTTAGTCCTAGAGAACCAATTTCTCCCTCTGGCCGTTTTCCTGGTTGCATTCGCACCAGCAGCAGGAACTCTGAAGCGGCCAACAGCGATGTCTTTTCATAATGGAGATGGAGATGTAAACGCACGATTTACGCGATTGCAAGAGCAAAAAGTTGGGATAAAAAACTAATTTTTTTATGCCAACTTGCAGTGTTACATATCATCGAAGCTGAGAAAAGAACACAACACTGCAGACAACAGGTAAATGCCGTTATCGCTGGTTTCCATGTTCGTGGAGTAAATATGTTTTCATGGCTTTGTGGCCAGTGTTTTGCGTGCGTTTGGTCAATCAGCATACACTTAAGTCACTGATAGTTCATATAGAACTGTTTTAGACCCTGCTCTGAAGTAGGAGCTAATTTAGTTCCTCCAAACGGAGTTCCTAGAACTAAAACCATTCCTAGTTCCTGCGGTGCGAACATGCCAAAAAGTGGGTAGTTCCACAATTAGTTCAGGTACTATGAAAAGGTTCCCGCGGTGCGAAAGGCCCTTGTAAAGTTTAACTTTTAACAAATAATAATTGTATTATTTTTGTCATTTTTATTAGTTTTTTTTTATTTTAGTTTAGCACATCAAGTTAAACTAAATGAAAATGAAAAAAATCTTTGCATCCATGCATAGTTTTTTTTTTGTTTTTGTTTTTTTTGTTTAAAGGTGCTGTATGTCATTTTTTGACTGTACTAAAGCATAAAAATACCTTATGTTTGCAGATATTTAGAAAACATGCAAAGTTTTTCTCCGAAAAACAAAGCTACAGGCAGTTATTCTGCTTTGAAATGTGTGTTCCGTGTCGGAATGTCTGTTTTTGTTTTGGTCTGTGTGATTCCGCCCTCTGCCAATTTACCCAATAGCATTTCGACACTCCAGGTTGCCAGTTGGCGGAAAACAAGTGTTTTGCAGCCATGGAAGCCAGCAAATGAACTGAGTCAAAGATCGCAGATTCTAGCCGACCTAAAAAGCCTCGGCATCTATATAAAAAGCTATAATCTATAACCAGAGGCATATTAAAAGACAGATAAATCAACTTACATTATAAGGCTCCTGTTGTGTGTCCTCAATCTGGCAACCTGCTTGAAGAGTCCTCGAAGGAGGGGGCAGGAGAAAGAACGCCAGGGGCGGCAGTCGCCATACCCTAGCCCAGTCAGGTGTGCCGTGGAAAATTATCCAAACTTCATATCTCTATTATATTACGTTATTATTATTTTAAATCAGTACTATTATTCTTCCTTGTGTCTGTTTGAGGGTTTTACAAATATTTAACCAATGAAAAGCATTCAAAAGAGCTTGTCACTAAACCTCGTATAACGCCATTGGATCCTCAAACTGTCAGCGAAACCTCGTAACTTCACCCCGCATCCAATCAGAATGATGCGCCGCACACAGCCTGGAGACAGATCTCCGCTTGTTCGCAATGCAAGGGTACATAACTGATGTTTGAATAAGTACAGCGTTTTCTTTACTCAAACACTATGTCTGTAAAGGCGAATGTTTTTTGTGTGTTTGAAGAGCGGAGAAGAATCTTTTGCCGTCTAGTTGTAGCCAGTATACGTTTTAAATATCCTGTGCATATAGCGCTTCATCGTTTATATCATGGGATTATGGCCAAGTGTATTAAACGACAAGAAAAACTAAGCGCCCTTATAGCTACAATAAAAGTTATAACCTGTAAGTTGATGAAAGCGTATAATGCGATGCACTTGCTGCCTCAGATACAGCCGTTCTAATGACAGACAAAACACAGATCTCCGTCATTCGCTGGTCAAAAAACAACTCCATTTGAGCTTGATTTTCATAAAATGTTAAGTGCAAGTGTGATAAAGCTACAATACCAGCTGACGACGCAGTGTTTAATTATTGAAAAAAAAAATCCCTTTCTATCTTCAGTGCTTAGTGTTGTGCCCCCTCCCCCCAAACCCGCCACTGCCATACCCTATACATTTAAGTTGTAGCATTATTATTTATTAGATTTCCTGATGGTTGACTAACAATTTTCTTCCTTCTATTCATATTGTTTCTTCTACTGGTAATTGTGAATGCCAGTTTAGCAGACAGTCACAGCAAGAATGTCACATAATATTTACAGTTTCCCATAAGCCCTCATTTAAAATCTGCTTTTTGAATTGATTGTAATAACTTCAATATATTATGTGGCTCCTGTATAATCCATTAAAAACCTCACTGACCATAAAGCCCTTGAGAAGAGGAGTCTGGCTAAATAGAACGCTGCAATTAAAGCAACCACATAGAAACTGTATTAAACGATTTTCCCAATTAAATATTTGTCTGGTCATTTGAGTCTGGACGTGTGAATGACTTATGTGTTTTTCCTCTGGTCTGGCTGCAGTTGGGGTCTCCTCAGCAGAAGCCGAAGCGTTTACGTCTGCTAGCGGACGTCTCTGGCAGCATGTATCGCTTTAATGGCGTGGACGGCCGTCTGGAGCGCTCCATGGAAGCTGTGTGTATGGTGATGGAGGCTCTTGAGAGCTACGAGCACAAGTTTAAGGTGAGATTTGACAATCAGTCATCGGCTCTGTTCCAAGACCCATTTTAAGACCATTCCAAAGTAGATGGAAGTTTGGTATTTTCGATTCTTTCTTCTGAGCAAATTCTAAGGTCCCATGACATTTTTCCTTCATACAGAAGGCAAACCCATAATGCATTTTTCCGATTTAAGAGAAAAAATCCATCCAAGGTGGTGGACAAATTTATCACAAGTGGTTGTAAATGTACACTACTCTTCAAAAGTTTGGGGTCAGTATGATTTTGTAATGCTTTTGAAAGCATTCTAATAAAGCATGTCTAATATTCACCAAGATTGCATTGATTTGTTACAATAAAAAAACAGAAATATTGTGAAAGATTATTATGATTTAAAATAGCTATTTTCTATTTGAATATATTTTACGTTGTAATTTATTTCTGTGATGGTATAGCTGAATTTTCAGCATCATTACTCCAGTCTTCAGTGTCACATGATCCTTTAGAAATTATTCTAATATGCTGATTTGCTGCTCAAGAAACATTTATTATTATTATTATTATTATTATCAATGTAAAAAAATGGGTGTGCTGCATAATAATGTTGAACAAACCATGATAGATTTATTCAGGATTCTTTGATTAATAGAAAGTTGAAAAGAACAGCATTTATTTGAAATACAAATCTTGTAACTTTATAATCATTGCTAAAAAAAAAAAAGTGTAAAAAATTTAATATAAAAAAATTTATCAAAATAAACTATTATTTTATTCAGTATTAATGCATGTGATTTATTTTGTGCTTTTTAGAGTTACTAATATTAGCTTTATGCAACAGCGTTTTAGTGCCACACTAAAAAATTAAACAAATCTAAGATTACGAGATTAAAGTGGAAATATTTTGAGAAAAAAAGTCAAAAATACAAGAATTAAGTCGAAATATTTTGAGAATAAAGTCAAATTTAGGAGAATTAAGTTGCAAAATAAAAAAGATGATTGATACACATGCCGCTTGAACTGAGGCGAGTACAGTGTTCTGTCACGCTTCATTAAAGAGCGTGACACATTATTGTAAGACATGTTGTTTGTATTTCGCTATAAAACTGACAGTATCTGAAAGCTGAGACTTTGTTTTATATTAAAAGTACCAAAAGCACAAAGCTTATTGCTATTATTGGGTGGCTGGCGCATTACAAATAATGAATGCATTCGAAGGCATGAAATATTATTTCCAAGCATACGATCCCTGTGAGTATGACGCATGGTATGATTTCTGCTAATAATCCCACATATATTCAAATCAGTTGTCAGGCCCCTGGAATTTCTCCCAGTGCTCCCAATCTGGGCCATTTGCATGCCCAAATTAGGCTATACTCTCCTATAACTTTAAACTCGTAATTGCTATGACTTTATTCTCGTAATTTTGACTTTATTCTCATATTGCTACGACTTTATTCTCGTCATTTTGACTTTTTCTCAAAATATTTTGACTTTATTCTCATATTGCTGCGACTTTATTCTCGGAATTCTGACTTTTCTCTAAATATTTTGACTTTATTCTCGTAATTTTTACTTTATTCTCAAAATATTTTGACGTTATTCTCATAATTTTGACTATTCTCAAAATATTTAGACTTTATTCTCATTGCTATGACTTTATTCTCGTAATTTTGACTTTATTCTCGTATTGCTGCGACTTTATTCTCATCATTTTGACTTTTTTTCTCAAAATATTTTGACTTTATTTGCGTAAATTTGACTTTTTTCTCAAAATATTATGACTTTAATCTCGTAATCTTATATTTTTGTTATTTTTTAACATGGCAGTAAAACGCCGTCATAACTTTGCAACATCCCTGCCAAAAAAATTTTTTTAATGAATTTACTGATGTTAGAAAGATTTTAGGCACTTTTCAGCTAGTCAAGCTAGAAGACTGGTTTAAACTAACCAACACCAGTTTACCAGCTTAGTCATTTATGATTCCATTTGAATGAAATTGCTGCCTAGACTATTTAGACAGCAAGGTGGCTCACTAGATTTTGGGACAAAGCCTTTCATTTGAAATGAATTCACGCCTCTGCTCAGTCAATCTCATTTTGATGGCCATCATCTTAAGTTGACCACAGAGTTCAAATATAGTCAGTACATGTTGATCTATCGAAATCTTCTCACCACAAACTCAATAAAAATAGCTAAATCTGTTTACAATAAACCATTGCCAGGCAACACACCATGGAAACAGCCCTTCTGTTGACGTCCTCAAAGAGTGAAAGTCTTGGGCCGCTCTGATGAGTAATAGGGATGTCCCCACCACACATGCTGACACACTGTTATGGAGGTTGCCATTGGAAATAAAAATGAAGTAAGGTATCGTTTGCCATGGAGACAGTCGTGCCGATTTAGGTTGATTAGTGGTTAGCAGCTCTCTGGGACGCATCTGTCTCTCAGTCGCTCTTTCACTTGATGTTCCTCTTTTTCCTGCCTGCATCTCTCCGTCTCTGTCCGTCTGAGCTGCTGGCAGATGCTCTGGAGGCAGTGAATCATGGCTCTTGTTGGGAGCTGCTCGCAGATTTGTAGGGGCCGCACAAAAGATGATCTGTTATCTCCATCCCGGGGAGTTTGGGGGAGGAAGACAGCGGAAGATATGCAGCTGCGGCTGTCAATGGCTCACATTATCCCGCTCTGCTCTAATGTGCATCAACACTTTCAATGTGTGGGGTCAGATCTGAGGCTGGACCATATAAATATAGATTGTGTTATATTTATAAAACAGCTGGATCCGGTGCAGGAATTTGGCTACCAACGGCACTGAAACGTTTAGCTCTTTCTATCACTCTATCACAGGGCAGTGCATTGCATACATATCGATATTGCTTAAATATATAATATACATTTTTGACCATGAAAAACAAACCAGTAGTGTATGGAGGACCAAACCAATAAAAGTTAAAAATAGAATAAAAATAAATGTAAAAATAAATACAGACAAAAATACATAAAGGAAAAGAGTAATAAAAATAATTTTTTTTAAAGACTGCATTTATTTGATAAAAAAAATACCGTAAAATTAATAATATTGTAATATTAATAATTGTAGTAATATTGTGAAATATTATTACAATTTAAAATAACTATTTGTTATTTGAATATATTTTAAAATGTAATTTATTCCTGTGATGCAAAGCTGAATTTTTTCCATCATTTTTTCATCATTACTCCAGACTTCAGTGTCACACGATCCTTCAGAAATCATTCTAAAATGCTGATTTACTGCTCAAGAAACATTTCTTGTTATCATTAGAGCTGAAAACAGTTGTTCTGCTTAACATTTTAGTGAAATAATAATACTTTTTTAAAATAAATAAATATATATATACTTGCTGACCCCAATACTGATGCTTGCGTTTGTGCACAGTAGTGTATATATTTTAGCTATATTGCCCAGCCCTAGTCAGAGCTCAGTTACTGTAGAGTGTAATAGATGGTGACAAAGATGAATGAAGTGACAGTGATATGTGAGATGGTAAGTATGTTAATGTGCATGTGTGTGTGAGGGCCGCCAGACTTTATGGCCCCATGTTAGCTGTCAAACGAGCTGTTTGCTCTTCCAGCTGGCCTGTCATATATCTGTTTCTCTGTGACACTTACATAATCTGCATTACATAAAAGTGCATCTGATAACTCATCCACCTGTGATCTAAAGGCAGGTGTCACACACATTCTTCTCATTTGTCCTTTGACCCGCTCAGCTCTGCTGGTTACACATTACTCTGTGTCCCCTTAGTCTCATGTTGTCAACCTTTGACAATCAACATAGAGTGTGGTCCATACTGATGATTTTTCTGACAAATAACCTTGAAAATATGTTAGACAGATTAAAACCAGTCCACTCTGACTCCCAGATATTGTGTAAAGTTAACCAGACAGATCTGATCTAGGAATTTCTATCAACTTCTGCAACCTTGCTTTACAGTACACATCCATGGGCATGTTGCTTGAGGTCTAGTGTCCCCTTGATAGGACCAGCCAAATGTATGCCGAAGACATTGACGTAATGGAATTTGATGTATTTCAGATTGTCAGTGTCATCAACTGCTGCACTGTTGGCAAAGACACTCGCTCACTGTTGAGCTGGACAAAAGATTATTATGAAACTTCCCATTTTGATTGACTATTCATGAGTGTAACCCATAACATCAACTCTGTGTGTCTGCCATCCAGATTGTTGTGTAATTTTAACTTATTTGCATCAGCATCACATCACAAGAGTTTGTGAGTTGGAAGTAAATGCTGTCTGTGGATTAATCTTTATCTGTGGAAAAACTTATCTCTGAAATTCTGATTGCAAAGTCTACACAAACTTTGAGTTTTCTTTGTGATGGATTCCAGACAGAAACTGCTGTACAGTTATTTGGTAGATTTTTATCCAATATTGTGTGTCCTGTCTCACTTGTTCAAGACAAATGTGTCTCATCTTGATGTGCATTTTTGACACATCTCAGAAATCTACAATGACAAAAATACCCTAAGGTACACTTCTAATAATGCATTGGGCATATAATTGTTTGGCTTGTTATTTTCTTAGCAGCGTGGTCTAACCCTTCTACTCCTTCCTGTTTTTTCCTCTGTAGTATGATATTATGGGGCACTCTGGAGACGGGTTTGACATAGAACTGGTCAGATGTGACAAAGTGCCCAAGAACAACAAGGAGAGGCTGAAGGTTTTGAAGGTACAGTAATGCTTCTGTAATGCAGGGGTGACCTCATTTCCCGTGTTTGTTTTGAAGTCGATGCTCTTATGAATTCACATGTGCTGACGTAGTAGCCAGCGTTTCTCCTAGAATTCCTCCTATTGTCTTATGTGACCACATCAGGAAGAAAGTCAAGCATAAATTCTCAGAGATGTTCTCTGGGATTCACTGACGCACGACTGCAGCCAGATCGGGGCCTTCAAAACTGAAACAATCCCATTTCTTTCCAAAGCAAAATTCTAGTTCCCCTGGTTTCAGCCATCACTGCAAAAAATCATTTAAAGCGGTCATGAATTGCCTTTGTTTTGTTTTTTGTACTGTTCTCTGAGGTCCACTTATAATGTTATCAAAATATTTACATCAAAAACCATAATTTAGAAGTAATGGGCTATTTTCTGCCCTGTTTTTAACCCCCCTCATCAGAACGCTCTGTTTGAATAGGTGTGGCGGATTGAAGACTCTGCTATGATTGGCTAACAGTTGTGTTTGACGGTCTATGTCCTTCACAGATGGACGCTGCTGTGATTTAGGTTAAAAATGCATAAATACTCACATCAAATGATCTGTTTAACAGACAAAGCAGTAGTGACCATGTAATGAAAACTGTTACTCACACTGTTACTGTCAGATCCAATATAGTCGGCACAGCATCGACTTGTAGTTTCAATCCTTCTGAAAATCCTGCAACGAATTTTGCTTTGTTTGAAAACAAATCCGTGGAAGTGAACAAAGGACTGTGTTCTTACTGATGCGGTCTGGAACTTTATGAAGAATAAAGTTCTTCAAATCAAGTTTATTGTTTGGTTTCTGCGTAGACCTGCGTTTTCTGCTCTTGTCATTTACCTACTATTTTCATTTACTGGGCGGGGCTAAACAGGCAGTGATGTAGAATCGGTGGGCGGGGCGATGTAGAAGCAGGCGTTGATCATCTTCTGCGGAGGCGGTGCTTATCCACACTATTACATCATAGAGTGGCACATTCCAAGCTGTCGTTTTGGCAGACGGGCTTCAATATAAGCTGTTTTTAGACTAACGAGAAAGTTTAGAGTTCTGAAACTTACAGGATGTTTTTATAGCACAATGACCTCTTATATGTCAAAAGATCAAGGGTATTTTGATTTCTCAGTTCATGACCCCTTTAAAACATTGGCAAATTCATATTTTTACTCTTGGCTCTGCCAAGATTACCGCCAAGTGAACTGACTTGCCTTAAAGCCAAGAGCACACTACAAGATTGTATTAAAATTGAAAGTAGTGCACGATAAAAAAGCCACACATCCTGATCAATTTGCAAAAAGTGTGCCTGTGCTGTTCTAGTGTGTGCCAGCTCACAAGTTTAAAATGTGTCTAATCAGCCAGCAGGTAAAAAACTAGTATGCTCAACTGAGGCAGATAATTCTCCAGCAACTATTTTGACTCTATTTCCCATGTGCAAAAATACTGATATGTTGTCCAGAATCAACTTCCATGTGTGAACTATGTGTGCGCCAGCCACCCCACAGGAAGTGCACTAAAAACTGTTTAGCATATGGTCTTTTCATTCCTCTGAATATGCATTATAACCTCTTCTTCTGCTGTACGCCACCGTCCCAGACCATGTATGCCCACTCGCAGTTCTGCATGAGCGGAGACTACACGCTGGAGGGCACCGAACACGCCATGAAGGAGCTGGCGCATGAAGAAGCCGACGAGCATTTCGTCATCGTGCTGAGCGATGCCAACCTGGAGCGCTACGGGATCAGCCCCGACCGGTTCGCACGCGCCCTCACCAGTAACCCGCAGGTCAATGCCTTCGCCATCTTCATCGGTTCCCTAGGAGATCAGGCGGACAGGTGAGGTTGATGTCCTGCAGCAGCTCACGTGTTAAACGTTAGCGTGCTTGGTTAAAGGTTAAGCCTGGATTAGAACCGGCAAGTGGCATTTCAGCAGAACTGCCGTGCGGTGAAAGTTGGTTTCTAAAGTTCACTTAAAAAAAACAAGGGCCATTTCAGTGCTAATTGCAGTGCAAAGTCTCAAATGTTCAGGGCGGCAATATAAAGCATAATGAGTTTGAAATGTAATTAGCATTCCCTTTATGTCATCACTTTGCTGTGGCTTGTATGATTTGTACGGCCTTTCTCCAATAAAAGACGAGAGTCTATAGGCTCATGTACAGCTCTCTTTGGTGCATTGTTCATGTTATTTGGTGGATTTTGTGGGTCTTGACTCACAGAGTGCACCTGCATGAGCGGAGACTACACGCTGGAGGGCACCGAACACGCCATGAAGGAGCTGGCGCATGAAGAAGCCGACGAGCATTTCGTCATCGTGCTGAGCGATGCCAACCTGGAGCGCTACGGGATCAGCCCCGACCGGTTCGCACGCGCCCTCACCAGTAACCCGCAGGTCAATGCCTTCGCCATCTTCATCGGTTCCCTAGGAGACCAGGCGGACAGGTTAATGTCCCGCAGCAGGTTGCGTGTTAAACGTTAGCATGCTTGGTTAAAGGTTAAGCCTGGATTAGAACCGGCAAGTGGCATTTCAGCAGAACTGCCGTGCGGTGAAAGTTGGTTTCTAAAGTTCACTTAAAAAAAACAAGGGCCATTTCAGTGCTAATTGCAGTGCAAAGTCTCAAATGTTCAGGGCGGCAATATAAAGCATAATGAGTTTGAAATGTAATTAGCATTCCCTTTATGTCATCACTTTGCTGTGGCTTGTATGATTTGTACGGCCTTTCTCCAATAAAAGACGAGAGTCTATAGGCTCATGTACAGCTCTCTTTGGTGCATTGTTCATGTTATTTGGTGGATTTTGTGGGTCTTGGCTCACAGAGTGCACATAAGGAGAGCTTGAAGGCATGCGGAAGGCGCCACCGTGGTGGTCGGACACGTCCCATATAGGCTGTCTTTTCATGGCCTCCGTGATTTAAAGAGCAGTCCATGTGCCTTCTTTTTAAAGAGACTAAATGACAGTCATGAATGATTAGTGAGGAAGGAGGGGCGGCAGCAAAGTGAAAGGACATGGGCGGCACTTTGCTCTCAGCCCCTCTTAACCAACAGGCTTTTCCCAAGACCCTGTATCTTATCAGCCTCACTGTGAATGACAGCCATTGTCCCTCCTAGGCAGGAGTAGGAACTGGGGAGGAAAAGCTCATTTGCATTGCTAATGTTTGATGTGGGCTCTTTTCTCTCTCCGACATGCAGGCTCCAGAGGACTCTGCCGGCCGGACGATCTTTTGTCGCCATGGACACCAAGCAGATCCCCCAAATCCTTCAGCAGATTTTCACATCCACCATGCTGTCCAGTGCCTGAGAGAACTCCAGTTGGGCGAATCACACTGAAATTGGCATGTCACTGATGACAAGGAGCAACAGGTCGAATCTCATGATAAAAATCAGGGTTACATTTCACTGGAAAATCAAAAAAAAAAAGGAATTATACTTTTATTTATACTGAGCACATTTTCTCCCTGAATTTTCATTACCATTCATTCTTTTAATGTAATGTAATAATATATATATAGTAATATGTTATAAAATTGATTTATTGTACTTACAGTACATTCTTTAAAGTTCGGAATGAGAGTAATGAGAATCCCCATTCAGAATAAATGGAATTACAAAAAGCTCATAAGTAAAATGTCCATGAATACAGTAAAAATAAAAAAAAGGTAAAACATTACTGATGTTTATGTAAGCTGATTTAAAAAAAAATGTATTTCAACATATATTTTTAATACAATAAAAAGTTCAGAATGACAGTAATGAGAATTCGAATTGGGAATAAATGGAATTACAAAAAAAGTAAAATTCCCATAAAAACAGTAAGAATAAAATAACTGACATCCATGTATGTTAATTAAAAAAAAAACAATGTATGCTAATTTATAATTGCAATATTTTTAATACAATAAAAAGTCTGAATGAAATCAATGTCAAGCCCCAATTGAGAATAAATAGAACTAAAAAACATGAAAGTAAAATGTCCATAAAAAAAACAACATTATGGTGGTGAGAATTTAGGGGAATATGCTTATTTGTCATAAAAAATAAGCATATTTGTCATTAAAAATAATAAATATAATTTTTTATGGTGACCTGGACATGTCAAAAAAGACCAGAGACCTGTCTGCCCTCCATACACCCTCAGTCTCAAGGGGCACGGTTTTGTGTATGGACAATACTACATACAAATCCATAGTGATTCTGTGATGTATCAGGACTGAACTGTATGAGTCTAGAATATTTGCACAAGTGCATAGTGTTATGGAAATTATTACTAGATGATATTTTAATTTTGACAGTTGTTGTTTTAAAGGGGTCATCGGATGCCCATTTTCCACAAGTTGATATGATTCCTTATGGTCTTAATTAAAAGTCTATAACATACTTTGGTTAAAATGTCTCAGTGGTAGTGTAAAACAACATCCTTTTTACCTTGTCAAAATCAGCTCTGTTTTCAGCAACCCATTTTAGTGCATGTTCACTTTAAATGCTAATGAGCCCTGCTCCCCCCGCCCCTCT